TAAGGGAGTTTAGGGTTTTTTTGTGACCAAAGGATACAATATTTTTACCACCTACTGCTGAAAGCCCTTAGTAATTATATCATCAAAAAAATTGTTCACCTTTAATGAAATACCCATAGAAAGGTTTTAAAACCATTTTGTCTTTGTTTTGTGGTTTTTGCTTTTTAGGCACCGCATGGTATTTATGCAGAGGTACATGGTCAGAGGCCTCCCTGCTGTTTTCTTTGATGGTGCTGTTGCCGACTGAGGGAGGAGGGCTCCGTTTTAGCAGAGGACCCCGGGCTTCAGTCTGGCTGGGCCAGTGCATTAAAGCACCCTTGTATATATGAAGCCGAAGGTACCCCCATGTTCTGTGTTTCTGCCTTTGTTTGAAGATACCATTGAATAAGGGGTGGGGGGAGGGGCAGAGATCAAGGGGATGGCACCCCTCTCCAAAGTCGCTCTCTCTACCCCAGAGCACGACAGCAGTCAGTCCCCATGTTGGATTGGGGGGGGGGGGGGGACTCCTGAGAAGCCTCAGCATGCACTAGCATCTCTACCCCACTATGGGGCGATGGTGGCGCAGGGGGTAGTGCAACCGGAGGGTTGCAGGTTCGAGCCCCAGTTTCTCCTGACTCCATCGAAGTGTCCTTGAGCAAGACACTGAACCCCAAATTGCTCCCGGTGAGCAGGCTGGTGCCCTGCATGGCAGCCTTCACCACTGGTGTGTGTATGGATGGGTGATCATGAGGCATAACTGTAAAGCGCTTTGAGTGCTCGTAGGAGTAGAAAAAGTGCTATATAAAGGCAATCCATTTACCATTTTACTCTGACCTGTCCTCACCCTCACTATCCTTCCTGTTAATCAAGCTCAAAATGCAATGTCGATGTTAACTTTCTCACGCTCCGTCTTTGCTTTGGAGGAGAGAAAATATTCATTCTCATGAACTCACTACCGTAATATATTTTTTTTCTCCTTTTTAAAATGAATTAACTAATTCATTGCCTAAACTGTCGATTTTACCTCTGGGGTAGTTAATCAGTTTTATTATATTACATCTTATTTCTGTGATAAACTAAATGACTTCATAAAATCCCAGGCAAGAATTATGAAAATGACAAAATTGACAAAACTAATACAAAATTAAACAAATTAATGGCTTATGGTGGGTTACATTCAATAAAGCTGAAAAGTTTTAAAACAATCTATAAATAATCTATTTTTATAAAATGTATAATATTTATAAATTTTCTAAAATTTTATAAAATAATCTATTTTTGTGTTATTTGATCTTAACCCTGTTACGGTAATGAGATTTGGATAACTATTTAGAGACAATGGCTAAAAAAATCATTAAATCAAACCCACAAATTGTAATATGCCTAAAAGTTTCAGGTGATTCAGCACATACAGTAAGAACACTATTTCAATGTAATGTTTGTTTTTTCCAAAAAATTCTCAAGAAAGACCCACTAACATGTTTCCAGTAACGTGACTGACAGGGGGAGTGTCCTTGCCCTGTTTACGTTACGCCATTAAAATAGAGCATGTGCTTTTTGTCTGTTGGATACAAAGGCAGAGCCATCCATCACTGCCTGTTCCAGCAGAAGACAGCTTGATCTCTCAGCCTTTTCCACACTAATCTAGGAATATGTCACTTCCTTTTTTAAACTCCCACGTTTGGTGACAAGCTGACCTTTATTAAGATCCAGGCATCATTTTAATGACTTAGTTGTTTGTGCAACCCACAATGCAACATTGCACATGCCTTTGTACTGTGTGAGCTAAGGGTAATTGCACATCCACAGTGCAACGAGTGAATGTTAATTGTACCATTAATATGACGTGACAAAACTCATCTCGTTATGATTGAGTTTGCTTTTCTAGAAACTGTCATGTTAGTTCAGATCTGCGCCAGGCAGAAGCTTCTGTGGGACTCATAAGTAAGAACAGCTGAAAATGCTGGGCTGATTTGATTCCAGGGAGCATTGAAAAGTGATGCTCAATCTACCTGTCACGGCCTCATATTAATTGGTGTTTATTATTTTATGCACTATTTCTGTCAATGATTCAATGACATGCCTGTTTTCCTTAAATATATCTGCATGATGCAAATCTGTCACTGTGTTGCCCTTTGAATTGGATTATAAAAAGATGTTTAGAATTGTTTGGTCTCTGTCAGGGCGGCAGGGAGCCTCACACACACAAATCCCAATTCCCAGCTCTTGGTGAGGATGTAATGTCTACCTTTTCTACCAATCTTTTCTCTTACAGCCCAAAAACAAGTGATTAGGTGAATCAGTAACATTAAATGAGTCTTAGTGTGTGTGCAAGTGTGTGTGTGACTGGCATCCGCCCAAGGTGTCCCCTTTGTTGTGTGCTGTCCTGCATGAGACAGGCTCCAGGCTCACTGTGACATTGCACTGTATCACTGTCCTTCCTGTGGAAGATGAACTGATAAAATGAGGCTCAAGGCTCCTATTATTAAAAAACAGGGCATAATTATTATATGTAGACTGAAATTTTATCTCGGTGCCCTACCTCCTCATATGCATAAACTATCCAGTAACAGTTTTACTTTTAGTGTTTCTATGCTTCTTTTCAGTCACCAGATGTTTACTCTGTTTATCAACATAGACACAGAAAAATGGTAAAAATTTGCCATTTAGTAATAAGTGTGCTTTGCTTTCCTTAACAGTAGGTACAATCCACTGAACGAGGCTCTAATGATCAGCCGAATACTATCTATCCATCTTGAAATGGAGTCTGATTGGTTATTTGAGCATTTAGCAACATGTCCACCAATTATATATGTAAAAGCACATTTTAGTTTAGCTTAAAAGCTTGAGGAGTTTTTTCACAGAAATAAATTTGTTGGTGGTGTGGTATCATTTAAAACAAATGAGCCTTAGAAGAATTTTAAAGGAGTTTAGATTGCTCAGGATCCTCAGATAACTTTTGAGACATGTGATATATAATATATTTCCATTTCCAAGACTCTGTCTTGATTTGCAGTACACCCTGTACCTCTCAGTCAGCAGGAATTTTACTTTACCGCTGTTCACAACCACTGTGAGATCTAGATGGCAGCAGACTTTCTCATACATTTTCTATTATAGTTTTATGTGTGTGCCATGAGCCTGCAGCATTTATCCCTCAGAATCAACAAATAAACCATAGCTGTGGTTCTAATATGTTTAAGATGCATAAAACAACATTCTCTGGACTGCTGCCCACTCAGTACCAGTAAGTTCAGTACCATATGCGACACATTTATTGTATTTGAAAGATAAAACAAATGAAGAATAGAAGACTGAAAATGTTTTTTTTTTTTTAACAATTAAAACACAATCATGTTCCATCAATAATAAATGAAAATGGGTGATTCAAGATATAGGCCTACAGCACATCCTGTTTATCTCTTTGACGTGATTTATATATGTAGCCCTATTTTTATTTGGACCATCGCAGTGGTGCCCATTGGGCAACATCTGTCATTTCAGTTCTTGGACAGCTCCATGATATGTGATTTTAGTATTTAGACAGATCCAGGTGAGTTTCTAGCTGTTTCTAGCTTTTTGTTTTTGAAGAAAGATTAGTATCAGGGCTGAAATACTCTGGGATAGACTTAAAATACTCAGGGCTATAGCCCCGAGTGATTGGACCTAATGACGTCCAAGGACAGATCCAGAATATTGGTTCTTAATGAACTGTAATACCAAAACTTGGACAGCCCTATGATATTCGTTCTTAAAAAGATACCTGATTTCAGAACTTGTACAGCTCCAAAATGGACTGAGCTTTTGAGTGTGCAATGCAGTGGTAATTAAGTATAACACACTAAAACTGTAAGTAATAGATTTGAATGCTTTTACAAAGTCAGTCAAGTACATTTTCCTGGTTGGCAATCCTTGAACTTCAGTCCTTTTTGCAGGACCGTTTGCATGTGCCATTTCCACTAGCCTGACTCAGTCAGTCTCTCCAGCTCTCCTAAGCTTTGCTTTAGGGTTGGAGCGCTCAGTATTTTCACTGATGTGGATAGGAACTCTGTTTCCAGGGCAACCGAAGTACAAGATACATTTCCATCGGCATCTCTCCTCTCTACCTTTTATTTCCCCTATTTAACGGTACAAGACAGAGAGCAAACGCGTTTTACATGCAGGAACAAAATGTGATTTCTAATTACTTATACAAAATAAAAACCTGTCATCGTCATAGACGTCTTTCGCTTTTTCGTCTTTTTGCCCTGAACGAATTGCGCAAATTAAGCGATTTATTAAATCGCGTCCATTTGAAAGGACAACAGAATTTTGCATAAGTAGTTGAGGAACCGTTCGCGGGACGTTGTTGATAATAACGCATGAATAACGTTAAAAATGCATGCAAATAATTGCAAGCCGTCTCTCCACACTACAAATTTTACGCAAAAGATTAGAACACATAAAAGCATTATTGTCAATAAGTACACCTGTGTTTTTTTGGCATTTTACCATTAAGTATTTTGTAGCGTACGCATTTTGATAAAAAAAAGGAAGTTTCTGTATGTGTCATTGTTGCAATGCGTTGGTTTTTCGCTGATGTGCTGGGTTCCAATAAAAAAACATTTCAAATAGCAAAACTACTGTCAAACTGTTCTGGGGATTACGATACACAGCACGAATAGGTCTAGTGACGGGGTACTATGTGGTAATGGAGGTGGACATAGTAACTTGACAAGAGACGTCGAATTCCAAGTCCTGGAAATAGATGCAGTCCTCCAGGCAGCTGTATTCATTTTAAGAGACAAACCTACCAAATCGATTCAGTATGTGATTTGGCTTAGTGTGTATAATAACGCGGTAAATCTCACTCAATAAAGACTTTAATTTGCATTAATTGGCAAATGAGTCACAATAAATCCGTTTTAACCGTTTTATATGTGTTTTTTACGGGAAGTCGCTGGTTATTCTACCTTCCATTTATGTTAAAAGCATGTTTGCATGAATCCTGACAGTGCATGGATGAGTGGCTTGGCTTCTTAAGCGCAAACCCTTGCCTGTTTAGACAGGCAGACGGAGAAGCCGCTGACGACCGGCCGCCTTCGCGCGCTTGCGCGCAGTTTCACCAGGAGCTGTCCGGTGCTGTAATGAGTCTGGGGAGGCTGTCATTCCGACACTAGACGCTCTGTAGAACATACCAACACTCCATTATTGATATATATTTTTATTGTGTCTTTGTAAGTATTCCTTATTAATGGAAGACAACTGTTTGGTTATCTTTTACTGTACCTCCAGGATATTTCTAATCTGAACTAAAATACATGGCTTTTATACCTAATGACCCAATATCATAGCATATAAGTAACCTACCTATCCTGCGTTACTGTACTCTGGAATCATTGTTTCACCAAACTAAATAATGATCCCAATGGACTGGGTAGCTCTTGCGTGCTTTTTGCTGCGGGTGAAAACATCTGCTGTGGGCAGAAATAAAGATATGCTGCCGTTTGGACCTTGCGCTTGACTTCGCTCATGGAAGAAGAAAGAGTGGTGTGAAAATAATCACAAGAACCAAGAGGAATGACTTGCCCTTCTGTCAAACTCCTCACAGCCTTATTTATATGTTTACTAGAGATCAACAACTTCAGGTATGTGGAACTTATGCTTTGCTCTTGATTTTTACTTCACTTCCTAAGGTCTTACATTTAAATCCAGCGAAATGCGATCATTTGTAATATGCATATCCACCTTTTTCTGTTTAGCCTACTTCATACTACCACAACACAAATGAAGGTACGACGCACATGGCAATATATTTGCAAAGTTACCGGTAAATGAGCACCCACTGTCGACGCTATACGTGTTTACTATTTTGATATTGTTTTTTCCCCATTACTTTCTTTAATATGCCTTTAAATGAACATACCTGTAGATTTCGTGATAATATGCAAATGCTTGTTAATCCCTTTCAGACAGAGAAAAACGAGGAAGGAAATTATGGATATGGATATAATATGGAATTAAAAGCCGTAGATATGAAAGTAGCTGCTATATAATAAGGTGGAAATCGAAAACCCGGGTTCTCAGTTAAACTTGAATACAAAATTGAGATTGTTTAATCCAACAAAAGAAGCAAAAAAACACTATATAAAAATGCAATCTCAGAAAAATTGCTTGACTTAAACAAGAACGAACGACTTGAGATACAAGATATTTTGTAAAATGATCTAATTTATATATTAGGATGGGTTATTTTAAAAGTCGTAATAACCGATAATAAATAGTAGTAATTTGAATTGGTGTCTTGTAAGACGCCCAGTTAGTAAGATAACTGTAGGCTACTATTTGTAAATACCTCTACTGTCTGAAAAAAGGATTTTTTTATGCAACTTTATGTTTATAAATATGGTTAATACTGTTTTCAAGTCTGTTGCTAGAGAAAAAAAGATTGAATAAAAACAACCTGTCCTTATAATTCAGACAAAGCTATGATCCTTCCATTTTTCCAATCGCTTATCCAGTACATCATACCCATAAATTGTGCTTATTATTCTGTTATTCTGTGGTCTTTCTGGCTCGCAGTTCTCTAAATTCATAACAGTAAACCGCTCAGATATATTAATTCATATCCATATTGATACACATGGATCCCCTTGAGCAGACTGATAAAGTTTATATATGTGCAGGTTTTACGGCTGTACTTCTTCTCCACACGTCTCCTTCCCAGGATGGTAGATGCCAAAGAGGCTGACTCCAGAGCGTCAGGGAGAGGAGCTTTCTCATTCACCATGTCTCCCTCTGATTTCCTGGACAAACTAATGGGAAAAACATCAGGATATGATGCTCGAATTAGACCAAACTTCAAAGGTATGTTCAGCATCATTTGCAGTAAATAACATACAATTATTGCTGGTTTTATGCAATTTTATTATAATGAAGGTATGCATTTGAACGAAGTTTGCTTGTGGACATTGAGACGATGTCTAGAAACCTATTTTCCATCATACTACTCAAAGTATATTCATTTATAATACAAATAGGAGCGATTTGGCATCCAGTATGTATAGCATATGTTCATATTTTCTCGTGGGAAAAGTAACTGTTAATAATTAATTACATGTTGTGCATAATGTTTTTGTTAAAGATACATGTATGTACTGTTGCATAGAACTATAATATTAGGTACATATAATCTAGCAGGAAATGCTGATATGTACCCTGAAAGTTTGTGCCCCCAATATGCTCATGCATTTTATGTCTCTCCTAAAGATCCACTTGTATCTCTGGTACAATCTACTGCCAGCATGCTTGCCAGTTCCATTTATCAAACATTGCTTATTGTGCTGTATATATTCATTTTTTCCTGAAAGCTATCTAATGCAATCCTGGATAGTCACCTTACCCTTGGGTATCACTGTCTGAGATCTGAGGGTACAACATTTGGGTCAAACATCTGATGCCTTAACTGCACAACCCGCTGACCTGATTCTGCGGACTGACCTACATTCATCTGCACATTTTGCTCCATGTAACCCCCTCATCTTCACTTATATCAAACAAGGCCATTTGGTGATGAATCATGGCTAGCATTAATACATGCACCGTCCATCCATTGATCCATCCATCCATTGGTACATCCATCTGTCTATCCATCTGTCACCAGTGAGCAAGGGGCATAGATTTGGATAAGATAGTAAGCAGAACTGTATTCAAGATTACCTTTGTGATGTCCAAGACAAGGACTCGTCGAGACTGAGTCAAGACCGCGTCCAAAAATGTTTGAGTCCAATTCAAGATCAAATCCAAATGAGAGAGACAGTCAAGACTGAGACAGGACAAAAGAATCCTCTTCGAGATTACTTACCTGTTTACAACTTTTGTGCGACGCCAGAGACTGTATATCATATATTTTAAGATGATAATTTTACAGTATTATTTGTTATGATCAAAAAGCAAGTGCAGTGTAACAACACTGTATGATGGGCATGGATACACTACATAGATGAGTTTTGGCAGGCGTGCCATTGCTTAGCAGCCGGCCATTGTCAATGCCCATTCTAGATGGATTTTGAGTTAATTAAACCGATGCCCATTTTCTGAACACACTTGCTTAATAAATGTTTTGAAGAAGGAGTTACTTGAGAAAAAGTAACATTTTTGAAAGGCAGCTGGACTCGGTTGAGACTAACTAGAATGTCTGGTGAGACCAATGGCTAAGACTGAAACAAGTCCCAGTGCAAATACCAATGAGTTCAAGGCAGCAGGAAAACTACTACAGTACTAGTGTACTACAGCCCTGGATGTTATGGGCATGTTCCTACCAATATGGTGGGAGTACTGGATGTGTTTTGGGTGGCAGGAGTTAAGGGCCAATTTGGTCCCTTCCAATGTTGAAACCAAACCTATGCCCTTGTCAGGGAGGCAAGAGGAAGTGGCAAATATTGGACTCCCCAGCACAGTTTATGGTCACAGAGCTGCTAACTGTAAAGGATCTGCAGAGAGATGCCACTTAAGGAGAGAAGATGAAAGAAGCTTTACAATCCTGTTTAATATGCAGGATATATTTGGCCCTTCCTTCCGTTCTCCAGATGGCTGACTTTATACTTTAATTATTATACAGCTTTGCAATAAAATGCTAGCGTATTAGCCTGTTGTGTTTATTAACAAAATAACACAATTATCTTCAGTTTAAGATTAAATTTGTCATTAAAAAGCACGGGCACAGAAAGGTTTATTTTGAGCTGGAAGTCGAAAGAGACAGATTTTGGTTGAGTACATGTAGGTTTAAACATCGTGGTCCCAAATTCAGACCACATCACTCTTTAATCATCGTGCCAGCTTCTGGTCTTTGTGGTCATTCATCGTGGCAGACAGTCCAGTATTCAGAAGGCTGATCCAGCCGCCTTACCTGGAATGAAGCTGGACAGAGCAGTTGCTGGACAGGAAGCTGTCGCTGTGACAGTCACCACAGGCAAATGACTTCATCTTAAATGTGGTGAATGTGGCACAGGGCAGAGACACGCTGTTTTGTCATTTCTTGCCATATTAACACTTGTGATTCTGCTTGGTGGTGTATTTTACTTGGATATAAATGTAGACATAAGATTTAATTATATGTAATAATGCAGCTATGGTAACGTGTTCCTTTTGAAATTATTAGTGATCAAATGTAATATAACGAATAACAGGTTAATTACATCATGTATATGTGTACATATACTATATAATGCTTTGAATATTTTGTTGTTTAGTATTACCCTACTAAACAAAGAAGTGCAACTGTATATCAAGCAATCAGTGTGTTGCCATAACTCATTAAGATTTAAAATTCTTCATCTGTTACTGAGGAAGAGTTAATTTCACAATGACATTTGCTTTAATTTTCCAATAAGTTTGTTACAGAGCAGAAGATACGGAAGATATCAAATCCAGACTCAATCGCAAAGTAATAATATTCAGCATTTCAATGGGAAACTGATTCCTGTAAGACATGTGAAACATGCTTGTAGTCGATCCTGAAATGACACAGCCATTTAGCACCTTCTAGAACCTGCTGCTGGTCTAGCTGCTTCAGACAAAGTACTGGCAGATAATCCCTAGGCTGAAGGAGGATCTTTAAAATCATTCACTTGAGTCATCATTGCAAGCTAAATAATTCATGTGGCTTTATTTGTAAGGTTTCCTGCCTTCCACTGGTAATTTAATTACAGGAAATTCTGTGTGACAGGATTCAGAAAATAGCTTAATTATTACCTTTTTAATTAGTTAATCGTAAGTTTATAACAAAACTTCAGCATGATGCATGCTGAATAATAATCACCGTTTGAAACCTGTAAATTAGGTGTAGGGGAAAAAGCAAACAGTGTATCGTGCAATTATAATAAAAATAGACCAAACCTCACCAGTTTCAACAGCAAATCTCCTTTGTCTTACCATTTTGCTCCATGGCTAGATGCCTAATCACACAACTGAGCTGAAATACTTTGCGTGTTATTCAGCATGTAACTACTTTTGTTTGTTTCTGAATGATCATGAGTAAGCATGCCTCTCGATGGCTGGAGAGCACAAGTACATTAACTCTTGTTCAGTCTATGGAAAATTGCAGATGGGAGTGAACAGCATACAGCACCGTTAGCACTCAGCCAGCAGACATCTAGCAGCTGTCACCTTTGCTGGTCCAGCTTTGCCTTCCTGAAGCTCATTCTCAGTACCTCCTCCAGGTCCCCCAGTAAATGTCACGTGCAATATCTTCATCAACAGCTTTGGCTCTGTAACTGAGACTACCATGGTAAGTGACAGCACGCCTCCATCTCGTCCCTCTTAGGATGTCACACAGAAAGGCCTGTGTGTGTAATTTGTCAGCCATGCTGCTTATTAACGTTCCCTGCATCATATTTACCGAGAGAGTAGGCACCATAAGGTGGCTCATACACACAAGAGGGCCCTCTCAAACCAGTACCCCCCCCCCCCCCACAGGTGACAACTTTGACTCCCACCGACCCCTCCCCACCCCCCCAATATCAACAACTTATAGCATCAACACACCCCAGATTCATTCTACCGAAGACTGCTAGCACAGTTCGAACCCTGCTGCCCACCCAAAGTACCCAAATGCCCACCCCAGCATGGCACCCTAGTGGCGTGACTAGTGTCCTCCCCCATGAAAATCTTGGACCCGGCCGTCAGATTCGTTCTGGCGGCGATACTGTTTATCAACAGCTTTGCCTCGGTAACACAAACAGCACTGATGAATTGGTCTTGCTGCCAAGCCGGTCCTGCACAAACCTCAGAGCCAGAGCAGATCTAACTCTCTCCTGCTCTGTGATAGAAATACATTGTTTCATTCAAAAGGGCTGAGAATTCTGGCCAACTTTGTGCTTTAATTGTACATCCAGATTATAAGGCTGATATTTCCAGTATATAAATACTAATTCTGAAGATGGCTATGAGATCAAGGGACACCCCTCCATGACCAGTTCCAATAATGCAAGACTGAAAAAGCTCTCAGTTAAATGATTTATGTTGCCTGTTTGTCATAACAGTGTTGTGTGGAAATAGCAGAAGGTATGAGATGCTGTTGTAATAATTTGCATATGTTGTAAACAAATTGCTGAATATGAATGAAAAAATGTTGTGAGAATCACTTCACTGATATAGTAAAAAAAAAAAAACCTAGTTAATTATTCTCACGTAGTTAATTATTTTGGATCATTATTTCTCAAATGCTGTTCACTGAAAATATTTGTGAATTTTTTTCCCCCCGTTGTTAAGAATAAATAATTGTTGCTGTGTAATCTACTAAATATCTTTTTCATTATTGTTAATTTTGGAAACCTGCCTTTTATTAGCTACCTGGAAGTCGTCTGTAATACTGTCATCTATAGTACTGTGCAAAAGTCTTAGGTAGTCAAAGAAAATGTTTAAATGATCTTCATATAAACCCATGATGTTATTTCTGCCAATGTGGGTCAACTTAGAAATTTCAAGCCCTCTTATAAAATTCCCCCAGTATTTGGAGCAACCATCCAATATACCCATGCCACTCGTGTTTGGCTAATCAATACCTCATTGAGTTATTTAACTTAGTAAGCTAATTATTGAAGTGAGCTAGTAGTGAAATTTAAAGAGTACATGTAATGATTGGGATGCCCCTGAGGAGAGGTTTGGGAACTGAAGCAGTGTTCTCTAAGCCATCCAGCAAGGTATCAGTTATTTTTCAGGGTGATAAGAAATTCTTGTTAGTTTTTATCGTAACACTTTACTTGAGGAACATAAATCATGTAGTAATAATGTACTACTTGTGTATTAATTAAGTGTTAGTTACATACTGATCTCATGTTTGTTTATCATTAACGAATTATCACATTTTTTATCTCAAGCAAGTACTATTTTTGTTATTATCTAATTCTGTAAACCTTTATGAACTACTGAAGGAAGTACCGTAGGAACAAATAATGAATAACTCATGTAAAATACTGATCTCATGTTTATCATTAATGAATCAACACATCTTTCATCTTATGTAACAAATATATTTGTTCATGATTTGTACTTCAGTTTTAACTGAGGTACTGCTAAGTATTTGTGTCTCAAATAAAGTGTTACCATTTTTATTGTGTTGCTTTTAATTTGCATATGTTCTAATGTTAAATTGTGTCTTCTTTTTTTAATACTTACTACTCAGATAAATAGCTTTAAACATTTTCTTTGTCTACCTATGACCTTTGCACAGTTCTGCAAACTTAAAAAATATACAGCAGGCTCACCATCTCACCAGACCTTTGTGTGAGGGGGCTCGCATCATGCTGACCTTTGCCACCTCCCCTAGGACTACAGGGTCAACATCTTCCTGCGGCAGCAGTGGAACGACCCGCGCCTGGCCTACAGCGAGTACCCAGACGATTCTCTGGACCTGGACCCCTCCATGCTGGACTCCATCTGGAAACCCGACCTGTTCTTTGCCAATGAGAAAGGAGCCAACTTCCATGATGTCACTACAGACAACAAGCTGCTGAGAATCTTCAAGGATGGAAATGTGCTGTACAGCATCCGGTGAGTCTTTATTGGTGTTGGTGCTGATCTGCTGTTGCAGGGAGGGATGCAGACCCAGGCTAACATTTTTGGCAGGATTCTGGAAATCTTTTGCATCATTACCGCATGATGCATCCACTATATGACTGAGTGACAGATGACTTTGTATTCAGAGTGAGGTTAATACAGGCACAATGTTGAGATCCAAGAATGTCTTTGTAAATGAAAAAAAACTGGATGAAAAATGAGTTGAAAACAGGAAGCAGGTCAGATTAAAGGCTGGCCGAGAGATAACCTAGGCTCTCAGTGTTTCTGTTCTTGAGGCTTTACAGTACAGTAACATTCACAAGGGTTATGTTGCTGATTCCTATGAATGTGAAAATTCACAAATAATTCTTGGGCACCCCTAACCTCAAAGCATAACAGTCTGCTAGCCTGAACAAATGTAAAAAGTCTATTTATTACCAATTTCTAAACAAACAGTACTGTACTGTACACTAGGGTGGGGTGAAAAAAATCAAAATTTCCAATAGCAATTTCCAATAGTGTGGAAAAGTTGTCACTGGACCTCATTATTAAACGTCAAAAATATCTTTGAAATAGGTTAATATTTTCAGGTTCCACAACGCGATGTATATAACGGTCATGCAGCTCCGCCTACAAGGCGCGTGGCGTGCCGGTAATATCCAGCACAGATATGTAGTCGAGATTATTAATAGTCACACATCTCCTCAGGTAAAGTTGGATACATGTACAATATAATAATCTATACCACAGGTGTGTCTGCTGGGGTGTGGGATGAGTAAATAGTGTCCTGTAGTTGTGTTCTGGGCATACAGCAACTCTGGATGTAACAAACTGTTTTGCCAGGTCCCTTGAAGTCCATTATAATGGGATTTTACTGTAATACACAAAAAATCTAAGTTATGCCCCTGTTTGTACAAAGTCACTACTGTACATATCAGTAAGTCTATGAGTATGAAGAAGGTCTGTATATTTTGTTAATTAAAATGCGAATTTGACACACAGCTTGATTACTGTCCACGTCTGTCTGGCTTATATTCATTGATGGTCTGTATTTAAGTCCGTCATACATGTTTAAAAGGTTTGTTGAGTAATAATGACCAACTAAATACATAAATATAACAGCACTTGTCCAGTCTTTTATAGCTCTGCATGTTTAAAAGGCGGGAAGCCCTATTGAAGATGCAATTATCTCTAGAACTTAAAAAAAACCCTTCACCTACATCAAAGGCTTTTTATCTTGAGTAGCCACCCTTGAATTGATTTTCACCTAATTTGCACTAATCCCTTCCACACCTGGACACTGATGAATGCCCTTTTTTGCCTGAGAATATCAATAACAATAATATTTTGACATAAGGATTGTCTCAGAGACTCCTGGGAGTTGAAGTTATGGTAATCCTGAGAATACAAGATTCAGTGGATAATGAACCAAAACAATAGACATGGGTATCTCCAAGAGTACCAGGTGTCTCCAATGCTCATGTGATGATCGTTTTGATCAATAGGTCTTGCATGAGCAGCATCTGAGCACACAAACAACTCATATCAATGCACAATAGGAATACGTCCTGATGAATGCAAGTTTAAAGACTTTTTATGGGTTAATATATTTTTCTTCCTTGAGCAGATGTTCTTACTCTAATTATCTAGAACTCATGGCTTGCCCAGTAAGAGACTTGGTCTGCTGAACTGTGTGAAAATACATAGCTTCCAGGAATGGAAATTAATACAAGGAGCGAGCTTCTTATCACGGCGTTTGACAGGGTTGCCATGGGGAAAAGAACAATTGCATGTTTAGTATGTATTTCAGAGATTGGCCCTGATGGTGCATTCCCAATAGAGGCAGCAGATTGATTTGTGAAGATTAATGTTTGACATATAATAAATGATATCAAGATCCACAATAATAAAATAATAATAATAAAACAGTACCTATCAGGCCATGGGCAATGCAGAGGCTTTGTGGATTGTTCTGTGCCCTCTCCCCTCTCCAGGGTTTAAGACTCAGTTGCAACCCTTGTTGTTCATATGTGTGGAGTTATCATGTTTTTCCTCAAATATATCCTGCCTGTGAGCATAGTTCCCAGAAACAACCTCAGACTTGTTATGATAATCTAACCAGTTATGGAAAATTGATGGATGATGTCACGTTATGTTCTGCCCCGCGTCATACTGGTTGGATAACCTTCTAGAAGAAGCATCCAGGATGTTGCCTTGGAGATCTTCTTGAGTGTGTGATGAATAAATATGACAGCTGGTAGCTAAGGTAGTCATGGGGGGGGGGGGGGGGGGGCACCGACGACGTGCCCTGCGTGAATGGCCGCTGGGGCGTGCTCCGGCCGCGACCCGCCACCCGGGGGGGTGCCAGAGATGGCGGCAACTGACTTAGCATAGCTCAAAGCTGAACCATAATCTACCAGCCTGATTACAGAGCATCTCCAAACAGCAGGCACTTAATTATACAGACGAAGTCAGTCTGTGTAGTTCTACAGTTACAGAGACAAAACAGATCAGCGTCAAATGGAAATGATGTTCATAAGTGAAAAATCACATCACCATTCAAGGGAATCATGCAACTAGTGCATTGTGAATTTTTGTTTAAAAAGTAACAAAAGATGAGGGTGCTAGTATTTAGTTTAGTTTAGTTTAGTTTACCACTCTTTGAAAACAAGCCAGAAACAATTAACTATGTTTCAGTAATTGTGCTCAACTCTCTGTATAACAGCCTGGAGCATCTCCAGCTGCAGGGGCTGGGCCACAGGGCTAATGGCCCCAGATGAAAGGTGATTGGTCCCCAGAGTATCCCTTCTCCTATCACTCACTAATTCAAAACATGTCATTAGCTAATGGTACGGCTGGCTCCTCTGTATGAATTATGGCCCCTCTTATACTTCTCACCTTAAAAAATATCCTAGAATCACCCCTGCCTCTAGGTGGGACTGCTACTCACTCAGCCACCCTGTTGCCCTGATATACTGTATAAACTCAGTCCTACCAGAATGTATGATATCACATCGCAAATCTGTTCTTCTGCTATTAATATATTAGTACCCAAGTCCAATACAAAGTGGAATCTCATTTGTATTTCAGAGATTTTCATTCAGAGTGAAAACACTACGCAAACTACAAAGTTATGTGGCCTTAGCCTGAAATACTAACATGTAAACACAGCTATCCAAGTGAACAATAGTGATGTCCGAGCTGTGATCAAATCATTCTTTTCACCATAAATATATATATACAGTATATATAGAGTGAATTCAGGTGTTCCAATCACTTCCATAGCCACAGGTGTATAAAATCAGTGAGCTCAGTGAATTCAAGTGTGGTACTGTGATAGGATGCCACTGGTGCAATAAGTCCATTTGTGAAATTTCCTCACTACAAAACATTCCACGGTCAACTGTTAGAGTATTTTAACAAAGTGGAAGCAATTAAGAGAACAACAGCAACTCAGCCATGAAGTGGCAGGTCACGTAAAATCACAGAGCAGGGACAATGCATGGTGACACACACAGTGTGCAGAAGTCACCGACTGTCTGCAGAGTCAATAGCTACAGACGTCCAAACTTTGTGTGGCCTTCAGATTAGCTCAAGAACAATGCATAGGGGACTTCAGGGAATGGGTTTCCATGGCCAAGCAACTGCATTCAAGCCTTACATTATATGGGAGGCAGCGTGTGGCTCAGTGGGACAAGCCTGTGTGCCTGTAATCAGAAGGTCGCTGGTTCAAACCCAGCCTCAGCATGGTTATGGGTCCTTGAGCAAGGCTCTTAACCCCCCAGCTCCCTGGGTGCTGCTATAACTAACTCTACGAAGAGCAAGTTGAGGGAGGCATAAAGATAAATTAGTAAAGTATCAGTTATATTATTATTATATTACCAAGTGCAATGCAAAGCATCAGATGCAGTGGTGTAAAGCACACCGCCACTGGACACTCGAACAGAAGAGATGTGTCCTCTGGAGTGACGAATCACTCTTCTCAGTCTGGCAATCCGATGGATGAGTCTGGGTTTGGCAGTTGCCAGGAGGTACTTGCCTGACTGCATTGTGCCAAGTGTAAAGTTTGGTGGAGGGGGGATTATGGTGTGGGGTTGTTTTTCAGAGTTTGGCCCCTTCCAGTGAAAGGAACTCTTAATGCTGCAGCATTCAAAGCTATTTTGGATAATTTCATGCTCCCAACTTTTTGGGAACAGTTTGGGGATGGCCCCTTCCTGTTCCATCATGACTGTGCACCAGTGCACAAAGCAAGGTCCATAAGGACATGGATGAGTTAGTCTGGTGTGGAGGAACTTGACTTGCCTGCACAGAGCCCTGATCTCAACCTGACAGAACACCTTTGGGATGAATTAGAGCTCAAAGTGCGAGTCAGGTCTTCCCATCCCACATCAGTGCCTGACCTCACAAATGTTCTCCGGGAAGAATGGTCAAAAATTCCCATAAACACACTCCCGAACCTTGTGGACAGCCTTCCCGGAAGAGTTGAAGCTGTTATAACTGCAAAGGATGAGTCAAATCCATATTAAACTCCATATATTAAGAATGAGATGTCATTAAAGTTCATGTGTGTGTAAAGGCAGGTGTCCCAATACTTTTGGCAACATATATATATATATATATATATATATATATACTGTATATATATATATATATACTGTATATTAGTGCTGTCAAACGATTAAAACTTTTAATCAGATTAATCACAGGGTTGCTGTGGATTAATTTAGATTAATCACGATTAAATATCATTCATTTTTAATCTATATTAATCACATTTCATTTTGCATGAGCAAACAGACTCAAGAAAAAAGGGAATATATATGCACTTAACATGTGTATTGAACATCTTGAACACGAGTTGGATGCATTCCATCTGCCACAGAAGTGCAATACCATGGACCCATATCAAAAAGCAAGATTTTTTGCTTAGCCAACTTGTCGTATTTAAGGTACCTCAGTTTAAATGGTCTTTATCTTATTTCATTTACAATTAGCCCGAACTACCGTAAATCCGATAAATAATCCGACTAATCATGAAATCCAGTTCTAGCCCGGTTAATTGCCATATTGTTAGCAATATCAGTTGATAACACATTACGCGCGGTGCTTTACGTATAAAACTCCGTAGCAACACGTCCACAGATAAGTTGGACAGTATAGTGTGTGCGACCGATTTAATGAGCCCAAATGAGAAGTAGTGCCTAAACAGTATAAAACTACAACTTTCCCTTCTGTTGATAAAAGGCGCAGCCATCTCAGATTCTGAACTCGGGATCCTCTGTGCTGCTCCGAGAAACGCGAGCGCGCATGTAGTTACTTCCGGCTTCAAAACTCCGGAATCCGACTCGGAATATGAGTTGCGAGGGCAAATGGAACGCACCAAAACTGCCCGAAATGGGTTGACAGAGACATTTCAGGGATTTTGAGTCATTCTGCGCTGCAGATGGGTTAATTGTGTTAAAAATTTTAATCAGATTAATCATAATGATGGATTAATCCGTGTTAACCCGTTAATTTTGACAGCCCTAATATATATATATATATATATTTTTTTCCCCTATTTACATTATTGTCTTTCAGCCTGACGTTAACCCTGTCTTGTCCGATGGACTTGAAGAACTTCCCAATGGACGTGCAGACGTGTACCATGCAGTTGGAGAGCTGTGAGTGTTGTATTCTTTGTATAGTGATTGCTAATATTGGATTAATAGCATAGCGGGATGGCACTGTGGTGCAATGGTTAGCACTGGGATCCATGTGTATGCAGTTTGCATGTTCTCCCTGTGTTGTTATAGGGTTTCCTCTGGGTATTCTGGTCCCCCCCCCACTACAGTCCAAGAACATGCTGAGGCTAATTTGACCTAAATTAACTATATGTGTGTATGTATGAGTTAGTGGTGTTAGCGTGCCCAGCAATGGGTTGGTGCCTCATCCTGGGTTATTCCCTGCCTTGTGCTCATAGTCACTGGGATTGGCTTCAGACCAGGATAAGTGGTTTTGGAAAATGGATGGATGGAGATTTTATGTATGATGTCTATTTATTGTGTTGTACAACACTTTCTTAACCATTTGGTTAAGATTAAATGGGCTTTATAAATAAAATGACTTGAGTAATGTCTGTAATTCCGATGGGGAAAGTTTAGAGCACAACAAGGCCACATTTTGTTATATTCCATCTTAAATGGATCAAAGGTCAAATAGAAATGGCAGTCTTTTAGAAGAGCCCCTTAATTATCACAATAATCATTCATTCTTTCATGTCAATTGAGCTGGAGAGATGAGGTACGACAATAGGCACTTTGTGAACCACTTATGGATAACACTTCATCAGGACAAACAAGAAAGAGAAATTGCTCCCATCACAGCGAGCACACAAATGTTTATTCAACTGACTATGAATCATTTGCAGTTTCATTTTCCTGTTGAAATGCCACACTGGATGTAATCCCCATTCACAGCCAGAGGCATTATTTCAACTGAAAACATTAGTCATTTTAAAAGTATTTTTTAAAACAGTCACCGATTTCAGTTGAGGTCCAAGCAAATAGTAATCTATTATGGCTCACCATCGATTGTCTGCACTTCCAAAGTTATTGGAAATAATGCAGAAAACATTAAAAATGTTCTGAGCTGAACGATTCAATTATAATAAACAACACATGGGTCTGAGGGGTGTTTTTATACATATAGGGGATGTTGTCGTTATTCTTGTGTGTTTCTTACCCAATCATTTCTAGGCTGAACATGACTCTTGAAAAGGTCTTAATATTTTAAAATCTTAACTTATGTCCACTTCTGTTTCTCCAGTCGGCTACACAATGAATGATTTGATCTTCGAGTGGCTCCAGGAGGGTCCCCTGCAGGTGGCAGAGGGTCTCACCTTGCCGCAGTTCATCCTGAGGGATGAGAAGGAGCTTGGGTATTGCACCAAGCACTACAACACAGGTGAGGAAGGAGAACTCCATCGGACAATTGGAAACCAGAAGCCAGCTTCCTATGGTTCCTGGAGAAGCTTAAGAGCAGTTGGCAGTTAAGAGCAATGTGTATGGAAAGATAAAAATTGTATCATCGATCAAGTCCGTACAGTATACAGCATTTACTAAAACAGGATTCTCCTGCTCACTTTACAACCAAGGCAAGTTCACCTGCATCGAGGTGAAGTTCCACCTGGAGAGGCAGATGGGCTACTACCTGATCCAGATGTACATCCCCAGCCTGCTCATCGTCATCCTGTCTTGGGTGTCCTTCTGGATCAACATGGATGCCGCGCCAGCCCGGGTGGCATTGGGCATCACCACAGTGCTCACCATGACGACGCAGAGCTCAGGCTCTCGTGCCTCCCTGCCCAAGGTACCCCAGTGCTCCCCATGGAAGCCGCAACTGGTCTGGGTGATTGCGTCAGTACAGCCTAGAATCCAGTCATGATTTTGCTCAGGATTTGGGCCATATACACTTTCTATGGATCAAAGTTAAATTTCATAACTCTTCAAAGGGCATGTAGATCACATGTTTATGGCCTCCATGCAACAGGCTGTTGATGTTCAAATAAACCCAGGGGCACCGTTGGATTGGTCTGAGTTGGGGGCCCAATATGATATGATCTTTATCGGCATCTCTGGATACACCAAAGATACATTAGATAAGAACTATACTTAAGGTCAGATGGTTTATTTCATATTCAACATGAAATCATGCATCAGAAGACGTAGCGCTGAGAGACAAAGGCAGAAGAGGAGCATTTTCTCTGGTATAAGTTAATGAATGTCAAATATTAAGCATCCTATTTATAATGTCAAGCACATGAATTACTGACAAACTGGGTAGTTACAAGGAAACTTAAAGAATGATACCTTTTATTGTGAACTTATTTCAGGTTTTCAAAGTAACACTAAATATAAATAGGAGAAAATTGTGCTTCCTTGTTGAAAATAACAGACCCCCAAAATATTATTTAGAATACCAGTTTCTAATTAATTGTAATAGGTTCTGGCAATATTCCTTTGTCTTTTAATGAGGAAACCATTTTCAGAGACACTTAGTGTTATTTTGAAAATATGGTAATAAGGCCCGTGTTAAATGGTTTGTGAGGGATTTCAAAACTTGCATAATTGCTTCCGTGAATAACTATTTTCTGTTGCTATAAACAACACGTTAATTCTGCCACGCCCATAAGCACTCTTCTGAATTACTTTGGTGGCAGTGATTCGGGAGAGAGCTTTCATGACTAATAAGTACCGCACCATATTATTAAAATAATCATTATGTGGCTATCCATTGAAGGAATACTGCTAAGGCACTGAACATGTGACTATGGTATTTTGGGCTAATGCTGCTCTTGTTGTTGATCAGGTGTCCTACGTGAAGGCCATCGACATTTGGATGGCCGTCTGTCTGCTCTTTGTGTTCGCTGCTCTCTTGGAGTATGCGGGGGTTAACTTTGTCTCCCGGCAACAGAAGGAGTTCCTACGTTTGAGACGGACCCAGCGGCGCAGTCACAAGGTGGGTCCTGTAGTGACTTGGACCCTTTGACAAAATAACACAACTGGTGTGCATTTATGGGAGGGGGGGGGCTTTTGAAAGTGGACCCTGGATTGATAATTTGGAGATATATTTCAACTGCAATAAGATGCTTATTCTAATTTTGGTCTTTGTCTAATACGGCATTTTACCTGTTTTATGTAGATGCACAGATTACTAAGCAGTTCAGATAAAGTGCATCTCTATAAGACTTTGCCTTCTGTCCTCGGCCATCTGATTTCCTGATAGATGATGCCTGGTTATTAGTGTAGGGCTCGGCACACACATAACAAACTCCATTATCTGCCATGGTTTCCAATGGCTCCTGAGCATCGTGGATGACAGCAAAGCCCTGTTGGAGCACAGGGGGAGCCATGAGTAGGGAAGTGGGCCCAACACCCACCACTTCCAGCCACTGGCAGTCCACAGTGGTTCTGCTGGCTCTGTCAGTTCCTGGGGCAAGTCAAAGTCTCAGGCTCCCAGGAGACACCAAGGCAGCCATTATTGTCTCAGGCATATTCCTTCACAGAAGCATGTGTAGTTCACTGTGAGCACCCCTACCTGAGAGGAAGGAGTGTCACAAAGAGAAAAGGACAACACATACATTATTTCAGTAACAATAAAAAAGGGAATAAAATGTTCCTTTCTCTCAGAATAAAGATAATTCCATGTGAAACAGCGTCGTCCTGCTCTTGCTCTCATCCCCTGCTTCATCGGTACAGCTGGCTCTTTATAAGTGTGCAGATGCAAAACGGACCGGCTGTGCATTATAGGGAGTTTGCTGGACAGGGCTGTGTCATTGTCGTTTTTTGCGAGTGTCATTTCACAGTGGGCAGAACTTATCCTTATTAGCTTACACTGGTGCAAATATAACAATATTTATATAAAAAACAAAAAAACTGTTTAAGCCTTGGAGGCCTGTGATGATGTCAGAGCTCCCGATCGATATTGAGAAATGCCTCAATGGTGCCTCTTGTTCTAGCAGGATGATGACATGGGGGACAGTCATCTCAGCTTTTCTAGTTATGGCATGGGCCACTGTCTCCAGATAAAGGATGGTACGGCAATGAAGACACCCCCATCAAACCAACTGGCCCCAGCAAGGACACCCAAAGACAAAGACAGCATGAGGAGAAAGTTTGTAGATCGGGCCAAGAGGATCGACACCATATCCAGGGCCGCATTTCCCCTGGCCTTCCTCATTTTCAACATCTTCTACTGGATCACATACAAGATCATCAGACATGAGATCATTCGCAAAGAGTAGCTGAGCCGTAGCTGGGTGGGACATGCCAACCTGCCAAGCAGACATACAGAATAACATTCCATGCCAACCTGCCAAGCAGACATACAGAATAACGTTCCATGCGTGTCTTCATCACCCATCTTCTATTGCTGGGACATTTAAGGGTGAAGAACACATTTAACACATCATGGTGTTGGTTTTCTGCAATGGGTTGGCACTGCATCCTGGGTTATTCCCTGTCTTGCACCTGTAGCTTCCATGACAGGATCTCGACCCCATGGCCCTGCATGGGACAAGCAAACATAATGGATGGATGATGTTTTTTTTGTTTTTTTTTTTTGGAGGGAGAGATCCATAAAAAGGACAAATCTACTACAGCTCTACATACAGATGTTGTGATTATCTGAGGACATTTTTCCTCTGTGTGGCACTATTCAAAATTTTTAGACAAGGTAATGTAAAAAACAGACCGAGCTCCCTGAAATGATGCTGCCTTTACATTTCTGAGGATTTCTCTGGCTGAGAAATTCAGTGACTGATTTAAAAGGAAGATTTTTCAGGTACTTTACGGAAGGAAACTTTCATACAAAAAAACGTAAAATATATTTAATTTCTGAGAAAATGTAAGAATTCCTAACCGTGGACTACCACTTTGTTATTAAATTAACCTAGGAAAATTCACATGTGCAAAACTGCTGTATTTGTTTGTGGGCTAAATACAGTTCAGGCATGAAGCGTATACATTTGTATCAGCAATCTAAATGCCTTATTGTGCAGATAGTCAAAATGCTGGCAGTTTGATTTAACTTTCACTCTTGTATAGCCTTTTTAACTGCTATATTCATTTGATACATACATGTATACTTGTTTCTGTTTCTTTGGAAATCTATTTCATATGCTGTTTGTATTCCTGAATGCAGTTGAGTCCTCTGACCATGTAGAGATACACTACATTACGTCAGCTGAGCTTGTGACTCTTCCAGTGATCACCATCACCAGCTTCTCCCCTGCAGATCTTCCTGCTCCTCACTCGTTGTTTTGGTCTCTCGGCTGCTCATTGTGGAATTGCAGACATTCCTTTCGAGCGTCTGATAAACACTGGAGCCGCACAAAGTGAATGACTTTGGCTATGACAGCATGAGAACTGGAAACCATATTTAGACTTTGAATGTCATCTGCACCTTTAACTGAAAAAAAAATACCACACTGGAAGTAGAAAATTTTATTTAAAAAGTTTTCTGTATTAAAACTAAATCATTTTAGGGTTTCTTGACATTTAAACGTTGACAGTGGCTAAATTTAAATCAATACTAGTGCAGGCATTATTCTGGAGCTGTTTTAAAGGAACCCTTCACTGTATCTGAAATGTATGCTTCGCAGAGTCAGAGCCCATAGGCCTGTCCATCCAATGGGCACGATCTTGAGGTGCTCATTTCATTCTGCGCCAGTAATGTGATCCATAACTACAGAACACCTTCCTCCAAAGTGACCTACTGGCCCTTGAAAATGATCAGCTCATTAAGAAGCAGACAAAGGCCTTCAGCAGAAGTAGTGTGATGAATGTGCACAGTTAGCACTGGGCAGGCCAGCTACCCAGGCCTGCATAATCTGGAAATTTACTGAATGTTACGGTGTGCCAATTAGTGATCACTGAATGGCCATGGGAACTATGAATGACTAAAGGTATAAATAACTGCACAACAGAGCTGCCAAAGGAAGTCAACATTACACCGAAGGGAAAGCAGGGTAATGAAAAGGAATAGACAGGTGTATATATAGAAACACAAACAGGAAGTGGCGGTGAATTCCGATACCCGACAGAGCAGGACGCACTAATCAGAGCTGGAAATCGCCGCGGGTAGCTTCCTGAATACGGGTGCCAGGGACACAGGGGGAAAAGAGGCAAACCTGAAAACCTGCGACACGCAGCCATTAAGTCAGTCCAGACAAATCCCTACAGATAATCTGTACAACTCACCCTCCTCCCTGGAATTACCACTCACAAACAAATACATAAAAATTAAGAAAAATGCTTCCAGAGATTATGTGGCCTAATACTACCCAATGTCAATGACTCCACTCTGGCACTGAAATAAAGAGGTACTTAACAAACTGTCCTCTTTGTTTACTTCTGCAATAGATCAGCGTGGCTGCTCTTACGGTCGCTTACGAAGGTACAGCTGGGAATGGACGCTGCTTCTCTGGTAATGCCTGGATGTGTTACTCCCTCTTCAAAGCTGTCACAAAGGGTCAGCTTAGAGGAGAAGCATAAAATCGAGCCAGCTTGCTATGATGGCACTATAACCCAGAAAATCTTATCATACTTTAAAGAGGTGGGATTTATTCTGTAGATAACATTGAAGTTCGCCGAACAACTATTGCATCTGAAGACATGACTGAAATGGTCTGGTGTGGGTGGAACAGCTGGACAGTTGCTTCAGAAAGCATAACATGAGGCTTGATGTGTCCCTGTGTTGGACATTGCAGGAAAACAGGTCTGACATCTGTTCCATAAGGATGGCCATAGCACCACCGGTCTCGAGCAAATATGGACATGAACGCATCCAACAGTACATCTGAAGCAGTCGTTAAGGCCATCGCTGCGGCAATATACGCTCGATTTGTATTCTAAGCTACCCTGTTGACGCTGTCAGGATAGGATTGTGTCTCACAGCAAAACTAGAGATTTGCGGTGCGAGACTGCAAGGCCTTTATATCTTGGAGATTTTTGCGAAATGTGGCTCTGTAATTCACAGCTCGCCTGCCAAAATAGACCATTTAGTGTGTTACCATGAACTAACACAGAATCTGTCTGCCACAGAGAAAACCCTAACCGAAAAAAGACTAAGAACCTGAAACTGTTCATTTCAAAAATAAGTTTTAGCGGCATCGCACATAGGCTCTTCTAATGAACACGACCTTGAAAATCACATTAAAAATCTGTGTTTTTATACAGACTCGCAGGCACTATTATTCTTATTTTGAGAGAGAGTAATACTGGTTAACATTATAAAGAGCTTAGAAACATTAATCCTGCGCTCTTTTATAAAATACTGCTTTATTGGACAGAAAAATTCAAGATTAACACAAATACGAACAGAAAAAATGGAAAATATAGATTTTAAATTTCCATTATTGTGGAAAGAAATTATGCAATCAGGGATTAGTAGAATTATACTGTGTTTCTGAAAACACAATGCATGCGTTATCTTCTTAAGCCTTGGATGGTAATTAAGTCATTTGCTTTATCAGTAAATGGAAACAGATTTAATCAGCCTCAAAATGGCTATAACTCCTGCTTCTATGTAACTCATTTTCATTGATTCTTTGGTCTTAGAAGGACTGGGGTAAATCCTACAGCTCTTTTTACATAGCGCGTTAAAATTCAGGGCAAAATGCAGGAAACCGCATCTGTTTGCAATTTCTGAGGTTCTGAAGACAAGATACGTGGCCACCATAAATCCTCAGTTCACAAAGAAAAGGCCATAAACACACCTGTCATTTCCTCTACCCAAAAGATTTTCAGTGAAAAACCCAAAACTTCACTCCTGAATTTCATTAGGGTATCTATCTGTATATCTATAACCTTAGGTATAGATCTATAACCTTATATCTATAACCGCCTATCCATTTCAGGGTCTTGGTCAACCTGGAGCTTATCTTACACAGCACAGGGCAGGGGACACAGAGGATGGGAGGCGTATCTACACACATGGAACAATCTAGAGACTAAATCACCTAATCACATTATCTGAAGGTCTTTTACTCAGTTCAGACAATAGCGTGATTATGCACATGACACATAGATAATGAGTTGGGCATGTGGATATCTAGGTGTTGCAACAGCTAGGAGGCTTGGCCTAAGTGTGTTTAAAGTGGGGTTGGGGGGGGACACTGGAAAATTACAAAAGGCAGCTGGTATTAAACACCAGACCAGAGAGTCTGGAAGATTGTTATTGACCCATATGTGAACAACAAAGAGAAGATTATGTTCCCTCAATCGTCACCAACATACAAATAACTCTTATCAAAATGATAAAGCGTCACATGACACTCAATCCCTGTCTGAGTTTGTTGTTTGTTTTCCATAGTACAGCAAAGGCAACACCAGTGGGAAGAAGCAGCAGGGGTGGGGGTAGGATGGGGGGGGGGCTCACCTCCAATCAGATTGCATCACATGGACAGATGGAAAACACTGCCGCTGCTGAAAGAAAGCAGTCATGTGCTCTGCTGTGGTTGGATGGATTTTACAAGCAGGGGTCCAATCAGAAAACACTATCCAAGACATCAGCTTTAACTGGACCTTGTACATGACACAGCCCAACATTTATGATGGGGATGCTGGTGTAAGCAAATTAACACCCGATATTTGGCATAAACATTTTTTATTAGTTTGGTCTTAGAGGCAGTGATAATCTTCGAATTTGAAGTCAAACTTGTGGTTAATATATCATTACACAAGTCATGTACTATAACAACTTTGCCGTAATACTGTAATAGCACTTCATAACCACTAGAGGGCTAAGCACCCCCACCCCCTCCTGCTTCTTTAGCAGTGTTTTACCATGACGGCTGCACCCAATTACCCGACTTTCTCTTTGAAGAGAAAAACAACACCTATATAATTTCCTCACTCCTGGGCCTCTTGGGATGAACAGAAGAGGTCAAATGGAAGAAAAACAGATGCTGGCCATATGGCCATATGAAAACATGTATGTCAGATAAACAAATAAAAGTAAAAGTTAAATCAGAGTTTTCCGATTTATTCCAGAGAAGATAAATTTTAGTGCTGAAATACAAAGGCTTGCTTGTACTTTGTAATTTGTTGTACTGAAGATTTATTTCAGGCATTCTGAGGTAATATGAGGTAATGCAGCAACACAGATGCTAATGTTATGGGCATGAAAATGTATGACATTCAGAATGAATAACTTCACTTTATAGTACTAAATGTAACAATATATCTAGTGAGACAAATGGTATGACCAAGAATTTTGGAGTAATAACAGAATGGATACACAATTATATCTATACTTGCAATGACTGTAAGTCTCTGAGGAATCCGGCTCATCCCTGTATTAGGTCAGATAAATTTGTGGATTTTGGCGGGAAATAATATATGATTTGTTGTGTGTATTGATGGTGTTTTGAGTGACCAGGTTCTGGCCCACAGTTATCAACACTGAAAAAAATCACTGCGGATCAGGAAAATGCATAATTTACCTTTAGATACACAGCAGATGGTCTTATCCAGAAAAAAATGAGTTATTATAACAATTTTACTCCAAAAATACTTTGAACTCAGGGCTTCTGGTGTCTGCAGTTTTATGTAAATATTAGCTATAACATGGAGTCTTCGAGTCCTGCATTGCCTTTCGCATAAGGTCCACCTGTCCTCCTGGTGTGGGCCCAAACGTGGCCGGGAGCACCTAAGAGTACAGCTCAGCTCTGGCCCTAGACACTCACGAAGGAGCTTGCTGAGATAGTTGACTGTTGCTATGGTAACCAGAGCTGTTTCTGCATAAGAACAACGATTCAAATGAGACTGATGCTTCTCTGCAAGTGAAGTAAAATGGCACCGACTGTTGAAAGAAACTAAATTTAGCAGGATAAACCCACACAACATGAGGAGAACATGCAGACTCCACACATACAGAGTAGAGATAAGGTTCAGTCCATGAACGTTTCAAGT